CTGTTGTTAAATCTAGTTCAAGTATGTCTTCATTTTTAACTCGTAGTAGTAATAGTGTTAAACACCAAAATGCCGTGAAAAGTGCGGAAATAAGACTAAGTATCTTTTTAGCTGAACACAACGTAGCCACTCATATAATTGATCATTTGACACCATTACTTAGACATTTTCCCGGACTCGAAAGTATGCCAAGACTCACAATTAGGAAGAACTAAATGCACAGAAATAATAAGAAATGTTGTTGGAAAATACGAAACCAATTTTCTTGTCAAGGATTTACGTAACACGTATTTTTCTGTGCTTGTTGATGAAACCACAGACATTAGTTCAAAAAAATGTATGTGTGTTTTATTTCGCTATGCAAAACAATTTAAAATAGTGACACAACTTCTAGAGCTGGTCCAGCTTAATGCTGCTGATTGCAGTGCGGTTGAACTGTTTAACCATTTTAAAAACTGTTTAATGAAATATGAAATACCCATTACAAACATAGTTGGGTGTGGCTTCGGATGGAGCAAATGTGATGGTGGGAAAAAACAATTCCTTTTTTTCGCATTTAAAAAGTGAAGTTCCAAACGTCATTTTAATGCGCTGCATTTGCCATTCCGCAGCTTTGGTTGCTAGTGCTGTAATGGAAAGGACCCTGTCTACGTTGTGTTTAATTAATTTACCCTTTAATACCTATATTTACCTTTAATTTGGCCTAGAATACGTCTAGCCCCGATTCGTCATAATAAAGTAGGAAGAGTGACAAACAATCAAACAAATATTTATAACCATATTATTTATTTATAGTAAAGAGAACAACAGCAACTGTGGAAACCAATATTTCGTTTTAAAACCCCTTTTTTTTTTAACAGTAAACTGCCACGGTCGTGGACCTGGCGCCTGTGTCGGTGTTTAAGCCGGAGGGTTACCAGAAGCGTGCCGTCGGTCGTAAAGTCAGGTGACAGGTACTCTGCTTTATGGAAAGGATGATGGTAAAACCTTTTTTTATTATAAAATCAAATCGATGAACGGGTGTAATTCGATTTCGATTTCCAGTGGGCTTGGGCCTCTTTTATTGTTTATATTGTTGGCGATCGTTACGATCGAGAGTTGCCTCTATTTATTTTTTTATATTTTGTTTTTGTTGTTGAAGTAGATGTGTGGTTATTAGTACCTTTTCATCAGTACATATATCAACACTATTCTCTGCGGAAGTGTGTTAATATTTATGAAGTTTTCTTTTTATATTGGGAAGGATTGCCTATGTTGGCTCTTTTATGTGGTTGCCTATAGCTTTTCGGTGGGAATCGTTTCAATGTTGGTGTTCGCATCGGTGGGCATAACCTTTTCCGTTGTTCCTACAGGATATCGGAAGGTACAGGATGTATTTTCAATTTAATATTAGCACACTCCAAGATTGCACGCGATTAAACAGTATATTGACAGCCTCACAACTAGCGTTTAGTATACATGCAAGCAATTAATAATGCAAGGTGTCTCTATACTTTTAAGAAAATGTTGTATTGATTTTCGTTGCAGATCATACCGTCAATATATGCCTGATGTGGTATTTATTTGGTAGAAAATGTAATAGTTTAACATTAGTAGTACTAGAGTGTTGTCACCTGATTTATCTGACTGTAGGCAGGTAGATATCCCGGTTCAATTAATTTATTTATGAATTTATTTATGAAATGGCTCTTACTCTCTTTACGTTGGAAAAACAATTACAATGATAACATGTCTTGGCATACCTGTAGTTTCGGGTCTACTTGTTGATTACGATCCTCAAATGATTAATAATAAACTTAATAAACTACTTGTTCACTGTTACTACACAACTACTAACAGGTGTCAGCACTCACGGCGATAGGCTTTGAAATTAAATGTCACTGCAATGAATTGATTGTCCAGCAGGTGGCAGCACATACACGCGGCGGGAAATTTAAACAAAGTTGAAACGTTTGTACGATAGAGGGCGCGATGTCGCGGCGTCGAATTTAAATAACCAAGATGGCTACAACTGGCGTTACACACAAGTTTGAATTCGAGAACGGAGTTTTTGGAAAAACGTCCGCACGCAACCAGAACTGGAAACTCACTGCCCAAATCGCTTACGCAGCTTTGAATCATCCCCCTCTTATGTATCGTTCTTTGTCTTTCCCCAAAGTTGGAAAAAGTCAACCATATGTGTGACATGGCAAAATTAAGATAAAATAGTGTTTTAACATTTTTAAGTGAAAAAGACATTTGGGATAGATATTTTTGCCGTCTAGTATCCCAGTCAAATACCTAATAATTTTAAGTGTGCCCTTAGTCAACTTTTGTACTGGTTGATTGGTTTTTTTCGAAATATTGGTTTTTACAATAAAATATTTTAACAATTAGTATAGTACCGACTTCGGTACTACTTTAGAAAATAATACATACAAATTCCAGTTCAACTATTCGGTTTTTTGACCGATAATAAGATTAGGTACTGAAAACGTAAAACTAAATTACAACAATTGTATTGAACATAACAATTAAAACTATTACTAACTTAATACTAAACAAGTTCAAATTATTTAACTAACTAACTATTTACATAACACATAATTTACAATAAACGGTTTATTTATTATCTAACAAAAAGGCGTCCCGTAGAGAGGTATAACTCCGTGCAACCATAATACGGGGTGTACTCGTAGTACAGTGTAATAGTATTTTCGTATAAGTTACCGATTTATTATTTATATAATTTAACTAATTTAATTTTGAATCTCTACCCTGACACCCCCTGAATATTGAACTTGGAAGGGTCCCTTTTGCATTCCAAAGATCTTAAGTGGATGTTTATCAGTATTGACATCACCAGATGTCATATATCTGTAGCAAAAACTTTACTTAGTTGGCTTATTTAAGCAACGAAATTAAATATTATTTTGAAATTGAAAAATTGTATTACGGGTTTTATACTTTCAGGCGTTAGAGGAGTCCAACCTTTTCAGTGCTGGTTGTGCAGAACTATCATCATCGGTTGAAAACTTAATTAGAAGCATTTCAACTTATATATCTGGAAGTGCGAAAAGATGTGCCATTTTACAAGAAATACAAGAATTTATGGAATTAGAAAATACCAAAATCTTAATTTTTTCTACAACACAATTTTGGATAATTGGGAAGCTATCAAACATTTTTTTACCCTGGCTATATTTGAAGATAAACTAAAATCAGCAGAAGATATTTTAACTGAAATAAATGATATGCGGTCAAAGGCTTATTTACTTTTTCTTAAATATGCTTTAAATTTTTTGAATAGTTTTAATGCTTTATTTCAGTCAAGATTAGTATTAATTCATAAATTGTGTGATTCTTCAGAAAAATTATTTAAACAAATTTGTAGCAACTTTTTAAAACCTAAAGTTTATGCTGCTAAAAATCTTAGCGAAATCAATGTAAAACAACCCAATAAATTTTTAGATTTGGAAAATATAAACGTGGGTATTGAATGTCAAGAATTTATTCATAATATGCCGTAAAAAAAATGATATTTTAAAAATGTGTTTACGATTTTATATAACTGTTGCATCCCAGGTACAGACAAGATTACCACTGAATAACAATTTCTTTAAAAATCTACAGTTTTTAGATCCCGATGTTGCATTTAATTTAAATAATCGCACTAAATTTAACATCGATATAAAAGAAATAGCAAAAATGTATTTAAATCACCTTGATCTCACACAATTAAGTGTGCCAAATACATTTAACGAGTTTGAAATTTTGGATTATAAAAATATTCCAGTTGAAGAAATGTGGCTTAAAATAGTTGATAGTAAAAATTTTAACGATGAATATGTATTTCCTAATTTAAAAAACTTATAAAGATTGCGCTTTCTTTGACTCATTCCAATGCGAAAGCTGAAAGAATATTTTCTTGTGTTACAGATATCAACATATACCTATATATACATATAGGTATATGGATATCAAATCAAAAAAGCGCAATCTTAACTAACGACAACTTAAATGCAATGTGTGTGCTCCGCAGTAGCTTGCAAAATAATAATATAAACTGTACCAAATATGCGGTTAATGTTGAGCATTTAAAATTACATAATTATAAAATGTATGACTTTAAGAATAAACAAAATTAAAATTTGTATATTTTCTTTTATTTTTTTTATTTTTTGTTGAAAGACTTTGGTTTTCAAGTTTAGTTTTTTTATATGTTATATTGGTTTTTCCTAATTAAAATTATTAAATGCTTATAGGTAGGTATTTAATTTTTTTTTATTTCCAAAAATTAGAGAGGGAGGGAATTTTTTCATAAAAGTGGAAATTTTTAAAGTAAGTGGAGGGAAAAAGCCTACTCAAAGGTTGGCAACACTGGGTAGCACACTGTCGGATTAGGGACTTGCGTGCCAAAGTGTCACACGGCCAGCGAATTCATTACCTACGAATGTAGCTTAAGTCGACTTACACACACAAAAATGGATTCATATATATATAAACATGTTTTACTTCTTAGGTCAAAGACATCAATTTTCTGTAACGTAACGCGTAACGAAAATTTTTCCCACAGCAAATAAAGAAGTTTCAATTCAAAAAATCTTACACCCTACTAAAGTACATAGGTATAGCAGTGGCGGCTGGTGGATTTTGGACACACCCATATCTCAGTTATTAGACATGGGACCCACATCAAATTTATATGAGTTTACAATGACATTATATAGACAAGTTTTGCGCAAGCAAAATTCAAATTGAAATTTGCGAAAAAAAGTTAGTTTTTAAGTGTGCCCCCCAGCCTCCTGCCCCCCCAAATTAAGATAATTTAAATTAAAGTGGTACAATATTTAAATCACTGAAGTTTATCGACAAATTTCAAATTTTATTAAAAAATTTTAAGTACTTATTACAGATTTTATAAACCACCAGCCGCCACTGAGGTATAGGTATAGGTATAGGTAGGTACATAGGTATTAATATGTAATACTAATGTACTAATATGTAATAATATTATTTACTTTAGCCATTTTTCTGCTGGTATTCTTTGACTTATTCTATCAAGCCCTTCAACAACCACAGTTTGCTCAAAAGTGTCCAAAGATATTTGACCTTCGCCTATATAAATCTTTGCCTCTTCTGTCTCGGCTCTATAAGTTTCCAAAATTCCATTGGAGGATTTTTTGAAGGAATTATAGGCTTTCTGAGAACCTTCCATTATTTCAAGGAGCATTTCCGTCTTCATAAAATGTGTCAACACTCTGAAATTTAGTTTTTTATACTCATGTTTTGGATAAGAGAAAGGCCCTATAACTTACTTTTTTCTGAATCTTAATTCAGAAGTGCCAATAGATTTTGTATTTCCAGATACGGTACTTCCCGCAACACTAAGTGATCCACTTCCAATCATTGAATGTCTTATAAACGACCTCGCTGTGTTTGCAGATAATTGACTGGATCTACCATCTGTTGAACCACTTTCCGTGGAATCTCTTGGCTTGGTGCTGTCTTTCGCCTTCTGATCCAGTAATTCCATCCGTTTAATCGTCACTAAAAACAATACTTTACGAAACGCGGAAGGTTTTATTAACGGGGAACTCCACTCTGATAATCTCAGTGTTGCCCCGGGCCAACCAAAATAATTTTTGTTAGATTAAGAATTTCTAGAAATCGGTAGATTTAAATTCAAGACAGTTATATCTATTGACATTCTTAAAACAGTTATATCTAGTAGATATTATTAAGACAGATATCCCAGTAAGCACCAAACACTCAGTCGGCATAGGCGGTTGACCGGCGGTTCGGCTTGCCCCAGCCGGCCCGCTTACGGCCCGCGTAATGTTACCCCCGGTACCGTTTAGCCATGTTCCAACCGAAGTCGGCCAGAATACGGCATGCCGCTGCAAAATCCTTCGACTTGCCCTAACCGGTCCGCTTACGGCTGGAATACGGCCTGCCGCGGCAAAAGCGATACATCTCACGGCTGCTTACGCACGCGAGCTAACTATAAATAGCGATTGGTTGCAATATTTAGTTGGAAGTGTGCGTCCGTAATGGCATAGCTGAACATTAATTGTTTGGAATCCCCATCTCCATCCACATCTGCTCAGTAACCAATAATGTCTAGCTATAGCTATACCATAGTCGAGTGTGTTAAAGAAGTATCTTGCCATTCAGAGAATTTCAGGACTGAAGTTATAGGATATACCTCTCCAGGACGTCTATAGGCTTTTTTTAAATGGCCAGGCGGTTTTGGCCGGCACTCGGCTAACTATATACAGCCGACACTCGGCCGAGTAAACATGGCCGACATTCGGCCATGCGGATATTCCCGACAGTTGGCCAGGCGGACACGCCGGAAGAAATACGTGTGTCGGGCCTCACGCGGCCGATTCGGCAAAACGTATTCGGGCCGTATGCGGGCCGGCTAGCTTGTGCTTACTGGGATATTTCCTTAAAAATCGGTAACAGTGGCATCAATGGACTATCAAAAATTGGGCGTCACAGCCCTGCTTAAAATACCCCATAGAGACCTATACAAAATAATCTATCGGGCGCTACCGGATTCAATATGTGCAATTGTCCATGTTTTTTTCCGGATACGGCCCGATAGAAAATTTATAGGAAATTACCTATAGGCACAACCATAACTTTAACATTTTCCCTATTGAGACCGATAGCAAATAACTCAATGAAGGATATATAGGGATATTAGGGTGGGTCAAAAAAACCGACTATTTTTTTTTGACTTTGTACTCTGAAAAATCGGTTACTAGACACTTCTAGAGAATTCTCACCAAACATGAGCTCTTAATTTTGATAACAAGGTCCTCCGCTTTACAATTTTCCATTTTTTCCTCAGTATTAGAAAAAAAAATTATATCTCTTCGACAACTGTTCGTTAAAAAATAACTCTCCTCATATTCTTGTAGGAAATCGAACGCTCTACAAAAAAGGTCTCTTACAATTTTTTCGTAAACCTCACCGTTAAAAAGATATCGAAGGTTAAAGTTTAATTATTTTAAGAGAATTTTTGTTTTGCTTATGAATTTTATAACTCGCTTACAAATTTTTTTTATGAATCGCGCAATTCATAGTTTTGTAGGAAATTAACTGCTCTACAAAAATGGTCTCTTATGATTTGTCGATTAAATTAAGCGTTTAAAAGATATTCATCGTCAAACTTCAATGCATACTAATTTTAACAGTTTTTGATGAATAATTCGAAAAATTTCAATTTAATTTTTGAGTTTTACGTCATTTTTTGTTAAGCATTGGTTATAATCATCGACTAATGCAACAGCTCGCTCTGCCGAATCATTAACAACTTTCAATTGCTTATGATTTTAAGTTATTATAAAGATAAATTTCATGAAAATATTATTAAAATAAAAAAGTCTCAAATAAATTTTCGAAAGGGAAACTTCTATACGAGTTACTTTTACGATAGAAACTCGAATTTGTATAAATTTTCGTAAAATTCAAAAATTAAATTGAAATTTTTCGAATTATTGATCAAAAACTGTTAAAATTAGTATGCATTGAAGTTTGACGATGAATATCTTTTAAACGCTTAATTTAATCGACAAATCATAAGAGACCATTTTTGTAGAGCAGTTAATTTCCTACAAAAGTATGAATTGCGCGATTCATACAAAAATTTTGTAAGCGAGTTATAAAATTCATAAGCAAAACAGAAATTTCTCTTAAAATAATTAAACTTTAACCTTCGATATCTTTTTAACGGTGAGGTTTACGAAAAAATTGTAAGAGACCTTTTTTGTAGAGCGTTCGATTTACTACAAGAATATGAGGAGACTTATTTTTTAACGAACAGTTGTCGAAGAGATATGAATTTTTGTTTCTACGAGCCCTAACCACATAATGTTCGGACACTTCATAATTTATACAGAAATTTTTTTCGTGAATACTATCTCAAAATTATTAGAAGTTATGAAAAATTCAGCTTATTTTGGCATATACCCCTCGAAGCGATTTTTATTTTTAAAAAGTTTACCTTTTATTTTTAGCTTTTAAAAAAAGGCTAACTTTTTAACTTTTTTTTGCATGAGTAAAAAAAGTTATAAATGGGCCCATTAAAAAGAACATAAAATATTATACAAACCCTGAAAATTTGGTAAAAATTGTATAAATAATAAGAAAGTTATAGCGATATATATATATATCTGCAAAATCTCCCGTTTCCTAAGAAAATTGCAAAAACTCTTTAAAAATAGCATTTTTAAATTACTTATACTTTTTTATAACTTATTTATTTTTTACCAAATTTTCAGGGTTTGTATAATATTTTATGCTCTTTTTAATGGGTCCATTTATAACTTTTTTTACTCATACAAAAAAAAGTTAAAAAGTTAGCTTTTTTTTAAAAGCTAAAAATAAAAGGTAAACTTTTTAAAAATAAAAATCGCTTCGAGGGGTATATGCCAAAATAAGCTGAATTTTTCATAACTTCTAATAATTTTGAGATAGTATTCACGAAAAAAATTTCTGTATAAATTATGAAGTGTCCGAACATTATGTGGTTAGGGCTCGTAATACTGAGGAAAAAATGGAAAATTGTAAAGCGGAGGACCTTGTTATAAAAATTAAGAGCTCATGTTTGGTGAGAATTCTCTAGAGTTGTCTAGTAACCGATTTTACAAATTAAAAAAAAATAGTCGGTTTTTTTGACCCACCCTAAGGGATATCCCTATAGAGCAACCATAAAACATTTGACATAATTTAATTAAAACCTATGGGGTCCTATAGGGGAAAAACAAATTTCTACATTTATGTGTATTTTCCCCATTGAAACCGATAGCAAATAAATCAAGGGTGGATATCCCTATAGAACAACCATAAATCTCAACTATGGGTCCTATACAAACCGATACACCCTATAGAAACACCATACATTCCGATACAAATAGGTATCTATCGGTTTGAACAGCGTCTCTATGGGGTATTTTAAGCAGGGAGTGGTACCCATGGTACAATTTTCTTGTACCATGGTGGTATCTATTTACTAGGGTAAAGTATCGGGTCGTTTTTCTCGATGTACAATAACAAAAACTTATTTTCCAACATCACGTACTTGTAAGCTATCTCACTGGCATTGTATAATTCCACCAATTCCTCTCCAGGTAACTCTGTGTAAAAACATCTTTAAAAAAATGACAATTTAAATTTTGCAATTTTACCCTCTAGCTCTTCTATAACCTCGTAATGAGCGGAATTTCCGCTCATAGTACTTCTGCTTCTATTCATTGAGCGAGTTTTGAGAAAAAAAATACGACAAAAAATACAAAATAAAGGGTTATAATTATATATAATGTAAAATAACAACAATAAGAAAAATCTGTTTCCTAGAAACGCGTTTGATCAAAGATAAGCATGATTTATTAAAGGCTTTGTTATCTATGATTTATTATCTATGATAAGCATACGCAAATGTTATTAATTTTCGGTAGGTATTTTATTGGTTTTATTACAGTTTATTTACTGGTTTTTAGTCGAGTTTATTAAATTAAATACGCAAAACAATAATTCAAAAAATACACTTCCATCTACATTTTGTTCATAAAACCACGTTAATTGCACTGTAATTTTGATAATATATTATACAGATTTCTGAATCTATATATCAAAATTACAGTGTTCTGTAATGACAATTGACACGTCAAAATCGAGGTTAAAATCCAACATACATGAATTTGTAAATATCAAGTTTATGCAAAAATGATAGAATCTTGTCCCAAAAAACGTATGCTATTAGGAATTACAGGATTGGGAATGTAAGTACCAACATTTAAAATAGGGCAATTTAACGATATAACCTCAATTTTAGATTAACTGTGGTCGTGTTAATTTGGGAATCGCACTGGACGGAATCCACTGTTCACACAAGAAAAAGGAATTTTGTTGTCGAGCAAAATTCTACTTGTTTTGAGAAAGAGCGTTTTGAGGTTATAAGGGATTGTGAACCTTGCACTGGTAATTTATATATTATGTGTATAATGAACTTAAAATAATTATTAATTTGTAGCGTTTGAAATAACAAGTAAAAGCATTGGAGTGTGCATCCACACACACTACAAAGAAGTCCTGAAATGTGCAAATGGTGAAACTGTAACAAGAAGTTGTGATAGAGCTGCTTACTTTGACGAACAAGCTTTTTGGCAATTTGAGGGGCTCATGTTTTCAGCCAGTTTTGTTTCGACAGTATGTGTGGTATTTAGAAAAAAGGTTTTAAATAAACGGATGTTGCAGAGGGTTCAACGACAAATTGCAAATAGTGTTTAAAATGATGGAGTTATTTGTTAAAGTTTTTGAGAGTAATGAAGAGTTTTATGTGGATATTGAGGGATATATAACTGTGTTTGTTTACATATTGGCTGAGTCAGATATTAAGCTAAAAATAAAGTTTGAGAATTTAGTAGAAAATACATTAATAAAAGTCAATTTGAAAGATGTTGAGTATGAGGTTGTCAATACTTTGGAGAGTCAGGCGTTGTATTGTAAATGGCCTGTTTTGCTGAAAAAAAATTATGTTATATCAGGGCTATGCTCCACAACTCGCCATATAATTAAACATAGTAATAAAGACTCAATAAAAAAAATATTGGGTTTTCGGGATTCCTCTCTAATGGCTTGTTCAGAAAGTTCAATATGGACCAGATTTTGCGAAATTGACATAATAGAAACTATCAAAAAATTAATTGAGGCACCTAAAAGTTGTATTGACGTTAATAAATTTATTTTGCCATCCACCATTTGCCGATTTGAATATCATATGGGTCAGCCGGTAAGAATGCATAATGTTTATAAAGTCGCAAGGGAAAATAACAAGGATAACTCTATAGAGAGCTCAACGCCTATTAAAGATTTAAGGCTGAGTCATAGTTATGGAGAAGGACCTTTTATGACGTTAGCTGACGCAATTTTGTACCCATGTTTTAACGTATTCTTTAAAATGTGTGCATGGGATATGAAAAATATTATCCCCCACGTAACAACATGGTATGAAAATTTAAAAAACGAATTTAATATGGTTAACAATAAGATTCAAATAATTGTGAATAAAATTGACTATAACATAACAGAAACAGCAAAAAGTCAATTTGTGGAGCACAGTTTGTATACAGCGGATCCAAATCGCTATAGGCCCGAAAAGAGGATATTCACAAAACAAAATGACATCGAAAACGCCTTAAAACTTGTGAAAAAACTATCAGGAAACATAAAAAACACCATTTTACCCTATGGACATGAAGTTAGCTATGATTGGGATGAAATACCATTAGACGCCAACCCGCTAGGTGGCGCTTTACCCAAAAAAAGAGCCTCGAGAAAAAGTGAACAACTAGAAAATTTAGCAAAAGCCGTTAAAAAAATCGCACGTGATAAAAAATACAAAATCGTCGACTTTTGTAGCGGAAGCGGCCATTTAGGCATATTAATGGCATATTTACTACCAAACTCCATAATTATATTAGTGGAGAATAAAGAAAAATCCCTTGAGAGAGCCATAGAAAGAATTCAAAAGTTAAAACTGGAAAATGTAGAAATTGTCCAATCAAATCTCGACTATTTCATAGGCAACTTCGACATCGGGGTGGCCTTGCACGCATGCGGCGTTGCCACCGATTTAGTGCTCCAAAAATGCATCGACAACGCCGCACATTTCGTTATTTGCCCCTGTTGCTATGGAGGTATAAAAAACTGCCACGTTTTGAGATATCCAAGGAGTGAACAATTTAATTCTCTCAATTTGGAGTACAACAATTTTCTTAGTTTAGCGCATGCCGCCGATCAGACTCACGATGAGGATAATGTCAAGACTAAGCAGGGTTATTATTGTATGGATGTTGTTGACACTGACCGGAAGTTGTACGCGGAAGGTTGGCAATACGAGGTTCATTTAGGGAAACTGCAGCCCGTAAGTTGTACTAATAAAAATAATCTTTTAGTTGGTATACATGATAAATGTGTTTAATTTTTTGAATAAATATTTAATATTTTTTTAACGCTTCGTTTTATTTTTGTCCTGATGGCAAATTGGAGTAAAAATGACATCTTTATTGCTTTAATTGTTACGAGAATAATAAGGAAATGTAAACAATGTTAAGTAAGTAAATTGGAAAGAGTATACAGAGTATTAATATACACGTGACCCAAATTTATGTTGAGATCGTTATCGAAATTAATTAGCATATTTTTTAATGCGTTGCATTATGCATGATTCATGACCTTTTAATTAGTTTTGGTGATAATAAAATCATAGACATTTGGTTTTATGTCTGCATTCATCTGGTATTATCCGAACATATGTTTGATTTCATCAGGTTTCATCCATTGCCCCGTTGTAAATCTGCATTTATCCGGTTTTATTCGCAAATGCCCTGCATTTGATTTTAGTTCTGCATTCATACGATTTTTACGCAAATACATGCTTTCTTTCTGTTTTATTGGCTTTTACCCGCCCAAGTCTCTTGTTATGGCAAACCCTCAATTTTCTTCCGATATACTGTATGTCCATTGAGTCTCAATGGTATGTCCCTGTAATATTTTTGATTTTTCATTGAAAACTTATTTTTTCTACTACCTTACTGGAAAACTTAATTTTCCACCCCCGAGCGAGGGAGGAAAATGCCTCTTTTCCTCCCCGGGAGGAAATAGTATATTACACTACAAGGGCAGAAAGTGTGAGATTCCTGCACTGCGCGCCATGATGCCCGAGGCGAAGCCGAGGGCATCATGGCGCGCAGTTCAGGGCTCTCACACTTTCTGCCCGTGTAGTGTATACTATTTTTCTTACTACCTCGGCCGAAAATACAACCCGGCCGAAAATACGGGAAAAAATTAAATGTGTATTTATGTACCTATCTCCATTTGAATAGCTTGATAAATAAATAACAGTAGGCCGTGAATTCAGCGGTGCCAATACAGTAAAAATAAAAGGTTGTATTTTAACGACTTGTCTAATCGTCCGATCATCGGATGAATAAAATATATTAATCGTCCGAACATACGGACGACTAATATATATCATTCGTCCGTTAATAACATAACGTTAGTTACGTCATAATTATAATTCGCTTTTGTTCACCGACCGTTTAATATTTGACAACAAGCTAGATAGCTTATATGGTAGGGCGTTCGCTTGTCATGCGAGAGGTCCCGGGTTCGATACTAAGAAGCTGTCGAATTTTTTTTATTTCATAAATTTGTTGTTTCTTTGTTAAACAGTGTTCGGTTGGGTTGGTTGGTTTGTTTTAGTTTTATCGTAACATAAAATCTACTAGAAGTTGTCGAACTTTTTTTATTTCATAAATTTGTTGTTGCTTTGTTAAAAAGTGTTTTATTTTTATCGTAACATAAATTTGCCCATTTTAGTTGGGTTTTTTGTTCAATGGGGCGGGGGGGGGGGGCAATGGGGCGGGGTCGGTTGGGTTGTGTTGTTGAGTTTGAGTCCGATAATCTTTTTATTATTTATTTATGTTATTACCGGACGATTAATATATTTTAATCGTCCGATTATACGGACGACTAGCAACGGCCTTTCGACTTGTCTAATCGTCCGATCATCGGATGAATAAAATATATTAATCGTCCGAATATACGGACGATTAATATATTTTATTCATCCGATGATCGGACGACTAGCAACGGCCTTTCGACTTGTCTAATCGTCCGATCATCGGATGAATAAAATATATTAATCGTCCGAATATACGGACGACTAGCAACGGCCGTATTTTAATTAACAAATTACTACTTTATAACAAATAAAAGTACCATTAAACACTTAAAACAACATAAAAAGTAAAAACTTAAATTGTTTATTTGTTGTTATTATTGCAAAATTATGGTTTAAAACTGTCATATTTTTGTGTTTCTCCTGTTGGCAGTACGAAATTTGAATGTTAAGCACACGACTAAAAAATTTTTACTCCCGCTATTAGAGTGTGCGCGTATAGCTTGACCAATGCTTAAAACGTAAACTTTCTGCCGTGGAATCGGGGACGAAACAACGTAGTTTGAGTCGAGGTAGTAAGAAAAAAAATTTCCTCCCTCTTTTTTTTAACAATTTTACATTAGCAAGAGTTTTTGTACCTTGTCTAGTAGGGTGGAACGATATTTCATTTTTTTTTTTTGGAATGTAATAGTGAGCAAAAGTTGCCTTTTGGGTCACATATGAAACCCTCAAAATTTGGAAGCCATACAAAAATTCTTTCCGGTGCCCCAACGGGTTTACAAATTATTAATTTTTAATGCTGGGACAAAATTTTGAAATTATTTTTTTTCGAAATAAAATAATGCTCATAAGTAGCCTTTTTTGTCCTAGCGGAACGCTGCCAAAATAAGTAATCTGTCAACTGTCAATTGATATTTGTTTAGTATTATAGTGAGTTATTTGGAGTGTTTTGCAGTGTTGTTTGCATAAAATATGGCGTCTTCAATTATAAAAACTAGACAAAGTGTAAACTGTGTTGTTTTTGGAACCCCAAGCCAGTTAATTGACAATGTTTTGCCCACTTATGAAGGAATAATGAAGTTTTGTTTATGGTTAAGACACGATACTGAAATTAAATCAGTAGGTGAAATAGCTAAAGTTATTCTTCAAAAGTTGATTGAGTTATGGAAAAAAGCATTTATACCAATAGTGTCAAATAACCGGATTATCAAATTATTTAGGGACTATCACGATAAGTATAGAAATCTGGTAAAACCCTGGAAAAGTCGAAAAAATGACAACAAATATAAATTAAAAATATCAAAATTTCGTAGAGATGCTAAGAAGTTGTTTGATATTGCTGCTTGCAAATGCAAAGATTTTTCTGCGTGTTTCTGTCAAAAATCTCGTAAAGTGCCCAAGGATGAACAATTTTTTCTTATTGACCAACGAACAGACAGAAAAATGGTTATGGGGTCTGTTGATCTCGTGGCAACTAGGAAAAATCAAGAAAGAATGAAAAGAAAAGAAAAGGTAGCATCAAGGTTCTTGAATTATAAAGAAACTAAATCAAAGTCAAATACCGTTAGTAGTAATGGTTCAGAAAGTAGAGAAATTTCTATTAAAAGCTGCGTTAATGACACAGAAATGATACCTGAAAAGTGCGAAGCTTCAACTTCTCAAAAGAATATAGTAAGGCAAATGAGAGTTTCATTGCCTTCACTTGCCTTAGCTTGTGAAAGAACGGGAGTTTCCGACAGAGCTGCAGCAATAATTGCAAGTTCTTTACTTGAAGATGTTGGCTTGGTCTCACAAACAAATAGAACAAATGTAGTAGATAGAATGAAAGTTCGAAGACAAAGACAAAAACTTCGCAAAAATATTGTAGAGAAAGAAACAAAAAATATGTTATCCCTAAATGGACTATTCTTCGATGGTCGAAAAGACAAAACTTTAGTTTTGGAAGTTAAAGGAAACAGGTCGCATCGCATAACTAAGACAGAATAACATTATGTTTTAGTTAAAGAACCAGGGTCTGAATATATGGGACACGTAACACCCTTATCTGGATCTGCTGCAAATATAAAATTATGTATTGTCAGCTATTTAGAAAAACATAACATTGATAAAACAAAGATTTTGGTTATTGGATGTGATGGAACAGCGGTAAATACGGGACATAAGGGTGGAGTTTTGAGACTGCTAGAGGAATACTGTGGTGGACCATTACAATGGCTCATTTGTCAATTGCACGGAAACGAACTTCCCTTACGACATCTCTTTCAGCACTTAGATGGACTGACAACTGGACCACGTGAATTTTCAGGACCCATTGGTAAAAAATTATCAGAATGTGATAAGCTTCAAGTTATAAATTTTATTCCAATTGAATCAGACTTGCCCGTTGATGTTGATGAGACAGAGTTAAGTACAGACCAAAAATATTTGTTACAAATATATAACTAACAACAGCACGGCATATATGCCGTGCTGTTGTTAGTGGTAATGTCAGTGACAGTTTAGCTCGAAGAGATCCTGGTAAAGTATCTCATTCTCGATGGTTGACAACAGCTAATAGGTTGCTTCGTTTGTATATTGGAACAGAGTCTCCATCAGAGAGTCTTAAAATATTGGTGGAATATGATGTAAAAGTTTATACTCCAGTTTGGTTTAAAATTAAATGTAACCCATCTTGCAAGGACGGTTCTCAGAACCTACTTGAACTAATAAAACGATCCCGTTATTTAAATTCAAATCTTAAACGAATTATAGATCCGGTAATTCAAAGAAATGGATACTTTGGTCATCCCGAAAATATTCTTTTAACGATGTTATGTGCCGAGCAAAAACATATAAAAGAGCTTGCTTTAAGGAGGATTCTAAAAGCAAGGGCAAAACCAAGATTGTCTGAAAAAATCAGGCAATTTAAAATCCCACCTTTAAATTTTGAAGCCGAAACCTACATAGACTTAATTTCCTGGGAAAATTGCAATGTAACGGAACCACCACTAACTTTTGAATACTCAAACAATGAACTAAAATATATGGTAAGTCATGGATGCATAAAAGAAGATGGAAGCATTCTAGAATTTCCAAAGTTTCCTTGTCATACACAGGCTGTTGAAAGATGCGTTAAACTAGTAACAGAGGCGTCTTCGGCAGTCTGTGGTCAGAATGACAGAGATGGATTTATTCGCGCCAGATTAGAATCCCGTAAAATAATGCCGAAATTCGATACCAAGGTACAATATGCTACCAAAAAGTAAAATATCCTTGAGGGTGGGATGGGACGGTTGGAGCTCAATATGCAACTACCTCCACGCGGTGAGCTCTGGGATATTTTGTTAAAATAGCTCATTAGCGATTTTAAGAACATAATATGCGAAGAGTTGCATCACACAAACAATGATATTATTTCAACATATTTCATACTGTCTGGGGCAGCGGAAGATATTTTTTGATAGCGTTCATTTTTTGGGGCAAAATAAACCATCCTAATAGGCAACTTTTCCGCACTATTACCAAACGATATTCTAAAAAAAAAATTTTTTCGTCATTTTCGTTCC